ACAATATCTCTCACACTCTATTTTTCTTCACAAACTATTTTCTTATAGTTTATGGAATACCTTGCTCTCTCTTTTCTCTCTTTGTTGGTGTGTAGAAATGAGAGTTAAAGCTCTCCTTTTATAGCCAAAACCTCACTTTCTAAAACCTACAATATTTGACAATTTACACACCCTTTTCACAATTTCAACAAGGTTGGCTACCAAACCAAACCAAGTCAATAAAATTGGCTACCAAATTATACAAATTCAACAAGGTTGGCTCCCAAAACAAACCAAGTCAACAAAATTGGCTACCAAATCATTTGAATGAGATGGACACCATATCGTATACTTCACATGAATCGATAATTCATCCTTATTCCTTAGTGTCATGAACATGAATATTGAGCCGTCTGAGCCAAATGGAATGAAGAATCATATGAAAAACATCATATCTTCTAGGAGGAAAATTTACCTCAAAATGTCTCCTTACTTGAAGTCCTCTCTTGTGCATTTTGATGTACTGTCTCTGAGGTATTGCATTCAAGATTTTCTTCAGATTAGGTATATCGTTCGAAGTCATTTCAACAGCAAAACTTTTCCAGTTCAAAACATCACTAAAGGGCGCGACATAATGATCCTTTAAGAGTATCGGAACACAACCCATGTAAAGTGCCTCGACCATTCTCGGACTAGCCACTTCCCAACCACTCGGGCAAATACAATACTTACTCTTTCTAATCATGCCATAGTACGACACATTCTTCGGAAGGTACTCGTGTATTTGCACGTCAGGATCATCGTTCTTTCCCCAATACTCCATTAGCACTTGCCTTATGTAGCCATGAATACCTCCAGCATAGAAAACTAAAACAGAACGATGTGATGGAGACGGCCCTCCAATTAAACCATCGGTTGTACCTTGAGGGAGATAGATTTCTGGCAACGATACATCCTTTGAAGGATTGAATCTTTCAGATGTGTTTGCATTACATAGAACTCTTATTGAGTTCTTGTACAAGTAAGGATTAGCTAACGAAATTCTAGGCCCCTGCGATATGGAAAATTACATAAGAAGAATTAAGCACCGTCTCCCACAAACATCAAAGAAAACAACCTCAAAATAATCCAAAGACTTGTAATCAAATTCTGCATAGCCAATTATCACGAGACATGATTCTTAGGCCATTTATCGACTATCAAGCCTCAGGCATGAGCGGAGCTAGGTAGCGGAAGTGGGTTCACCCCTTCGGCAGAAAATTACACTGTTTATATAATATAAAATTACATTGTTTATATATATATATTAAACTTTGAATCTCCTTCGCTTCTTCAGCATATGTTTACTTTTTAAATTTTTCGAATCACTTTAGTGAAATTTCTGCCTCCGCCACAGTCCCAGGAATGAGGAACCTTATGCTATTCTTTAATTCTTTTGACAGACGTGGAGGCGAATGGAGCCTATTTTACATGGTTCAACTAATCCAGTATTTTCGACACAGATATTCAACGTAAGAACTTAAAGATTGAAAATATCAAGTTTAAATTCTGACTAAAATAGTTTCTGCAAATTAGATATTCCTTACCCAATCATGGCAAGCAAGCATAAAGTGATCTGATCCAAGGCTTCTGTTCCAATAAGGGTATTTTCTTGAGATATTATCAATATAATCTGCTGCTGTATTCCGCATAGGACCCCATTCCCGAGAATCGACAACATAAACATAGCTTACTATTGACAATACACTGAAGGGGAGGAAGTAAACATGAGCTTTTTCAGGATCATTAGTCCTAAACTTGCTAATCTCAAGCTGATGAATTAGAATTCCTTCAATTCCCAGTATTCCTTGACTAGCACTATAGTGAAAAACAGGGGGTTCACCTTCCTCATATACATATATCTTGAAATGTTTTTCCATTTCCAAGTAGCTCCTACAATTCCCAAATAAAGAATCTTAATTTCATAGACAAAAGTTTAAGAATTTTAATTCCAGTAGTCAATTCCATACTCAAAAATTCAAGAATCTTTGCACCAGCTCAATTCTATAGTCAAAATTTCAAGAATTTTAATTCCTCACAGCAACAAAAACATAACCAGTATACTCCCACAGTGTAGGGTCTGAGAGGGTGATGTGTACGCAGTGGCATTAGCCAGAATTTTCACTAAGAGGAGTCAAAATATAAATAAGTAAGTATGCGAAGAAACTTAGGGGAGTCAACGTATAGTATTATACATAAAACAATAAAAATTTGTGTAATTTTTCAACAAAGGGGTGTCAATCAGCTTCCCTTGCTAATGAGTGGCTCGGTCACTGTGTGTACGCAGACCTTAACTCTACTTTGTGGGAGGGGTAAGGTCCTCATCGCAAGAAAAGCAATTCACAGCACGTTTGAAAAAGAAAAAGAATAGTGAAGAATTTTAATTCCATAGTAAAAAATTCAAGAATCTTTGCACCTAACTCAATTCTATAGTCAAAATTTCAAGAATTTTAATTCCATATTCAAAATTTCAAGAATCAATGCTCCAGCTCAGTTCTATAACAAAAGTTCTAGAATCTTAAGTCAAAAGTTTTTAAACAATAGTAAAAGCTTGTAATAATACCTGTGGAAGGCAATGGGATTCCAGTAAATTGGACCAGTAGGAACATACTCAGGATCATCAAATGTTTGATTTTTACTCTGAGCTTGTTTTATAGCAGCTCTTGCTCGTACAAGGCCAGCTTCAAGTCTCTCTAAACTGCTCAACTTCTTTTGTAATTTAACAATTGGTTGTGAATTATTCAGTTGGCTCTCTTTCTTGGAAGAAACATTTGTTGCTAAAAACTGAGAAAAATTGCCAAAAGAAAGGACTAAAGGGAAAGTACTTGAACTTTGTAAACCAAAATAAAGAGACACTAAAATCAATGAAACTGAAATTAACCACACAACTCTGCTACTAGAAGAAGAAGTTGCAGTAAAATCCATTTCTTTGGCGTTACTAATTGAACTCAGTATTATTTCATATTTGCACAAAATGACATGACATAAGTTTACGTATATTCTGGTTTGACATCTATGGGGTAAATTTAAAGCAAAGGAAGCGGCCACATCTTGGGGACAATCAAATACACATGACGTATGTCTCCTGCCATGCGTCTTTGTTTCCATGTTATTAGTTTAATTGTCACCTTATGGCATATTTTCCAAGCAAAAATAGTACTCCTAGTAAGAAAAGGGCGAATATTATTTTTACACGATACATAAACTATTTATATTCTATAGCCGTAAAAGTATATATAAAATTTATATATTTTTTGTATATAATATACATAAATGTATATATCTATATATAAAAATATATATATTTTTTCGACTATTATTTTAAAAGCGGCTATACAATGTTTTTTTCTATTTTGGGAAAAATTAGATTTATAATCCATTACATGTGATGCCCATGATGGAGGGAGGGCTGATGAGAGCGGGTTAAGCAGGACTGGCAGGCTTCTAGACTGGCAAACTTCTGAAGAAGGGGTACACATATCACCTTAGCCGAATCTCATCGGAATGGAAGAGGAAAGTGAAGAACTATATAAGGCATGACACAAGTTCACATCTTACGCGTGCTTTTAGGGCTCGAGGTGGCGCAGCCCGAAAAAGACAAATTCGTACGAGCCTAGACACAAAGCAGTAGAAATGGCGTGGTATAGCCACTTTTTAATATGGTATTTAATTTTTATCCAGTATTTTTAATGCTGAGCAAAAATAACCACTACTCTAATAAAATTAATATGAAAAGACTTTTTTACCCTTTCTTCATGAGTGCTGTGTAAATATTAAAGACATAGTGTCCTTAATATTTACACTGCACACATGAAGTTAAGGACGTCATGTCCTTAACATTTACACTGCACATATGAAGTTAAGGACACCATGTCCTTAATATTTACACTGCACACATGAAGTTAAGGACGTCATGTCCTTAACATTTACACTGCACATATGAAGTTAAGGACATGACAGGACACTTTGTCTTTAATATGTACACAGCATTCATGAAGTTAAGGACACCATGTCCTTAATATTTACACAGCACCCATATCTAGCATAGGGTATTTTTGTCCGGGCGAATACAAATTTATTAAGCACTGGCTAAAGAGTAAATATATTTTAAGCAGTGGCTAAAGAGTAAAGACATCTCTAATTTGTAGTGGCTAAAGAGTAAAGACATCTCTAATTTGTGGCTAACTGTGCACTTTTCCCCACAAAGCACACAATACGTGTTATGGCTTGGATCGTGACATTACAAATGTTATTTCTAAGGGAGGTCAATATAACATCACATGCATGAGATCATTAAATAAATCAAAGAAGATCTTCATTTTCTTTTATTAAAATTATAATCGGTCATAAGAAATTATTATTTCCTCCTAGAATTTAATTTTGTAACCAAAAATGCATCAACTCCTCATTTTTTGCTAAATGAAATGGTGGAAAATTCATCAATATAGCGAAGAAATTACAAATAAACGGCCAAATAAGATAATATTGGTAATTGCATTTTGAGTTCTCTCTACATCTCTTCTCTGGCAAGGAGAAAAGGTTTGACTGACAATTAAGGAACACTCAAAAGAGAAAATATTCAAGCGACATCCGTTAAATGCTTCTTTATTCCTTACCGAGGAGTGTTTCTATTTCTAAACTTTGTGTTTCCACCACGATTATATGAAAAGACTACCTTTGTTATTATAGTAAAACAGTAGAAAACAGAAGAGAGTTTGGGTGCTAACTTTTGAAGAAAGAATTTGAGCTACCATATAATTTCTTTCCATTCTTAAAAACTTTGTTTTGCTAAACCTAACTAAATAAAGAATGGAGTTTCACAAATAATATAATGCAAACCTGCATAACAATCTTGTTGGAAGCAAGGAAATGCAACTCAAGAGACTCAGAGTTATAAGCATATTAAAGAAGTAATGGAATTTATATTGACTTGCCAAGAGTTCAAATAATATAAAGGGCAGTATGGTGCACTAAGCTCTCGCTATGCACGGGGTCCGGGGAAAAGCCAGACCACAAAGGTCTATCGTACACAGTCTTACCCTGCATTTTTGCAAGAAGCTGTTTCCACGGCTTGAACTCGTAACCTCCTGGTCACATGGCAACAACTTTACCAGTTACGCCAAGACTCCCCTTCAAGAGTTCAAGTAATATATGGTGCTATAATGCATTCTTAACTGTACATGGCTTAATTACTTAAGACACAACATGACGATATACCAATAATATATAGATTTGATTTCTTAGTGAGATGAACTGATTAAAGCTGTTGTATCGAAGTATCATTAATTTGACCAAGGAATTTGACAGTTTTTTAGTCCTAGTTAATAGCCATATTCCCCATTACAACCTCCATAGCCTCTGTCCTTTCCTTCACACTCTTAATCTTCTCAGAGTTTCCAGTATCAGTGACTTTAGACTGTACATCAGGCACGCGAGGTTTCGAACTGTTGGGACCTGCGTTTATCCATGGATGAAGAAGGCACTGAGCTGCAGTTGGCCGTTTCTCTGGGACAAATTCAAGTATTGGGATCAGGAAATCAGCCAAATCCTTTGCATCTTGCTCGCTGAATTCGTATTTCTCAACGAGGACCTTATCTAAGGGCCAAAAGCGTAACCGTCTGATGTGCCTCAAGTCACCATGTCTATTGAAGAACTCACGTGAATAACGGCCACCCAGGGCAATCTGGAAAGGACATAACATGTTGATAAAATGACTGCACGCAAGTGTAATAACTTTGAAGTGGTTAAAGGTGCTTTCTCTTACTTTTCGGGGCATTGTTCCGAGAAGCTCCATCATTAGTGCTAGGTGGTCCTGCCAACCCGAGAAGCTTTGAGTAAATATATGTAGGCTATGCTCAATGTTAAATTAAGTACTAAATCATAATAATAGTGGCTTTGGCAAGATTACATCAACAAAAAAGAACCATACAGAGATCTTTATATCCAGGATAAGGAAACTAGAAATTCATTATAAAAAGGAATTGAGTTATGAGTCAATCCAAATAAAGGTCATCTCCACATTTGGTCAAGTTCTATTTTGATCGCATGTATTTCAATTTGACACAGAGTTCTAGGTCCATCTAGCTCCCAAAACTTGGAGAAGACCACGAGGTACGAGATAGTTTGACATACACTAGGCATAGTTTCCACAATCCTCGTGATTAAGCCCTTTCTAGTTGCAATTTCACTTCTCTTCATCTTCTACCGCCAACTCCTTGCAATATCTATAAGTTCCTATTTCTACCTCTTGCACTTCCCCCCACCCTCCCAATTGTAAATACTTAGTGACAAACTTCATATACGCAGTTCTCCGTGAATAAGTGGAGAACATGGATTTTAAGACGGGTTTACTTGATTTTTGTAGGTTTCAAATTCACCAGCAGCAAAAGAAAGCTAAGGTTAGATTAGCCAATTCAGCTTGTAACTAGGAAGCCTCTTGGGCGTCACTCTACATTTAAGGTGCAAGGCATGCCATGAGCATCGGTCCAACAGCTGGAGTGTTCGTCCAACGAATTCTTGCACCTACCTTTACCATCCTTGGGTTGCTTCCGGCATGCACCGCCTAAGGGATGCACCTGGAAAACACCTATTACTAGTTAGTATCACCAGGTTTTTGCTGACCAATTTGTATACCTACCTCATTAAGACTTCTCAAATATCTTGCTTCAAATTTTCTTTTCAAACCTTTCTGGTTACCCTTTGGAAAGATAATTCAAGCAGCAAGTTCGGAGATAGCATAGACTTTGTCGAACTCACTTTTGCTCTTTAACAAATTTAAGTATCTTCTTTTCATAACCGTGGTGTCCGGGCCAGCTTGCGCACACCTCGACTAATTTCACGGGTTACCTACTACTTCCCATCAGCTCAGGTACCGAGTAACTCTATTCAATAAAACCACAAAATATGAAAAACACAACATGTTCTCTTAACCCCTATTTGGCAATAAAAGAGCAAAGTCAACATGACATCACATAAAGAAACTAGAAAAAAACACCAAATGCATATTCGACCTCCTTTTTCATACAAATACTACTGGCTTGTGCAAATACCAAATACATTCTGCGGAATGCACTTAAGGAATGTTACTCTCAAATACATAAAGCTCAAAAACTGCTATAGAACATATTGAGTTTAAGCTTCTGTTGTGAAATAATCTGTTCAAAAAATTAAATGTATGTTAGCAAGTCCGTAAAGCTCACAAAACTATAATATAGATTATTTAACTCAAAAAAGACACATAAAATTGAATATGTACCAGTCGATAGAAATTTATGTTCAACGAGAAGGATTAAACAAATATGTAGGGGCAGTGCCTGTAAGCAAAAGTAGATGAACAGTTCTTTTGTTGTTTTAACCCATGTTTAGCCATAAGATGGTTAATACCCCATATATGCTTTTAAATAATCAAGCTTCCGGAAGAAACCAGATGAACTACACGCCAACAAGTATCTCCTGACTAGACTATTAGTCTGCCAGTATATCCTTACTTCAGAAGGGTAATATAATTCTAGCTCATAGAGAAAGAACAGACGGAATTCAGCTCCTGCCCTCCCTTGCTCACTTAACTCCATAGCAATGTGCTTATTGTATTTTTAGTATGAAATGACCAAGTACCAGGTCAATACATAGTCCTTTCTTGAAACATAGAAACAGACCTTGGAAAAAAAAGATATAGTAGTAACTGTCGGGGAGTAATGCATTCATAAATATCATACCTCATCTCTATCGAAGTTGTCACCACTGTGAGGATCAAACAACATATCACCAGTGGCAAGCTCAAAACAAATGCAAGCAAAGGACCAAAGATCTGCTGAGGTTGAATATTTTGACCCAAGAATAACTTCAGGACACCTATACTGCCTCGTCTGAATATTATCTGTGAACTGTTTGTATGTCCAACAAGCATTCCCAAAATCAACCAATTTGCATTTTAGGTCAACAGACTCCAATGTCTTCCTCCTTCTAGAACCACTGCCTCTCTTGGAACCCACATGTTCTTTCCCACTAGCTGTTGCAGCATCAGCATTAGACGATCTATTAACACTAGCTAAACCAACAAGCTGATCAATTGGGAAATCTGCATTTGATTTTGCATTGAGAGACGACTCAACAGCTTTCTTCCCTGCAAAACCTTGAGCTGCTTCTTTGGCCTTTCTTCTGATCTTCTTCTTTTGGTTCTTATTTACATTCCCATTGAATGTTACATGACCCTTCACGTCCTTATTGTCAGGAAGAATAAGAGGGGCTCCTGATTTTCTCAGATCCTTAGACGGATCAATCATGGAACAGAGAAGAATGTTCTCTGGTTTCAAATCAGTGTGTATGATAGAAAGCTGTCGGTGTAAATAATCCAAACCCACTAGAATATGGAAACAGAGTTCTTTAACCTTGTGAATAGGAAGTCCTTTGTAACCAGTATATTTAATAAGTGTCAAGAGATTGTCACCCAAATTCTCAAAAACCATACACACATGTTGGCCGTTTGGACCTGAGTGCTTAAAATGATCCAGTAACTTCACTACACTTTTATTCCCGTCTGGATCACCCTCTGCAATCTGCTTTAGAATTGTTATTTCATCCAATGCTGCCTCCGTGTAGTGCTGTGCGCTCTTTTGCACCTTCAATGCTACAAATTGCTGCATTATTGACAAAGACATATACACAAACAAGTTAGTACTTGCCACAATAGAAATAAATTTCGTACAACTCAAAGTGACTATCAAGTCAAAAATGCAAACCTTAGTCCTTCCAGTGAGAACTTTGCAAGAGCTATAAGCTAACAATCATGCTTACGCACAATTAGGTGAGCTAGGCCAATTCTAACATAAGAGAGCACTTAATAGACAACAATTAATAGATTAAAGAGCTAGAAATAGAAGCCCAATGTAAAGCAACACCTGTCAGGAAATCACAATTAATCAAAGATTCAAGGATTTATTCATCCTCTAATACTCATTAACACTAAAGCTCATAATCCGAATCTTCAGTTTAAACAATGAATATGTAGTTCAAAAATATTTTCAAGATTTATAGGGATTTAAGTTATATACAGTGACACTGTAAACTATTTCTACACCATCAGCTCAATTTAACCGGCTAAAACATGTAATTGCTCTATTTTGTAGGTTACCATATCAAGCTCGCAATGAAGATTTACATGCCTTGTAAGTCAACATAACCCGATGCTGTAAAATTTTACACTCTGACAGTGCACGGAACTTAAATTAATACTATGCCTGTATCCATTACCATAAAAAAGAGGTACTCCACAATCTCTAACATTAAATGAAGATATATCGACAGCACCAAAAGATGAATAAAAAAGAGAAGGTGAAAGCGAAAAAACGTACGGACATGAGAGTATCCCAAGCGAGCCAAACAGTGGAGAAATGGCCCCAACCGAGCTTGCTCTGAACGATATAGCGGCCGCCTTTGAAAGCATCGCCTATTCGAACGGCATGATAACCTCCTCGCCTGTAATCATCTGTGCCTTCATCTTCTGAAGAAGAAGTACAATCATCACTACTCTCTTCAATCATCTCATCCTCTAACCTCTGATCCTCACCGTATCTCTCCATTTTTTATCAAGCACCAAAAATCAATTCTGTATATCAATAGTTAAAGTGGATTTACTAGTTGAGTTCTCGTAATTTGTGAAGCTTGGTGAAGAATTTTCTCAACCAATTTCCTCTGTTTCTGTGATACTTTGTTTGGACGCGTTGTTGAAATTGCATAATCAACTATTTATGTGGGTCTTGGAACTTTCGCAGTTAAAAAAAGGGAAAATTGCATTCATATACGAAAACGCCCTTGTGCTAGAGTCTTGTCGGGAAGAAACAGAGGGCTGAAATGAAGACGGTGAAGCAAGTACAAGTGGACTTCCTCCAGATATATCACCAATAATTAATTCAGTGATAAAAAATTTATTTTTAAAATATGAAAGGAGTAAAAGCAGATAAATTATTCTGTTACAGTGAGATATAAGGGGTCAATGAATCTCTAAAAATTGAATCATTATATTAAATTTTTAGGTATAAATGTTAAAGTGTACCAAATTATTACCTGGATTTTTAAATTTACAAAAATAAGCCCAAAAAATAATGAACCATAGCCAATAAAATTATATACGAATTATATATTTTATATATTGAGATTAAAAATAATAAAGCATTAATTTTTTTCATTAGACCTTGAGGTAATGGAAAAAAAAAAACAAGTGCACATGTAATTAACACCAAACTTCTGTATCTCCTGAAATCTATTTTGCTACTCACGTTGAAACTAATTTAGTTCCAATAACAAGTTACAAGGTATTCCAGCAGTTTTGAGTAGCAAGTCACGTAGTTTTGATTCGCAAGCCACTACATATTCGATATTTTTTCTCTAATATGATTTAAATTTCTCTTATAGTTACTTAATCTTTTAATAGATTTTGTTCTTGAGTCTCAGTTTTATTCATATCTTTCACTCGTGTGATTTTTATTTCTCTTATTTTTGCTGAATTTATTTTACATTGTTGTAAACTAGAGCTATGGATCTCTATTTTGGCAGTATTTCATAATCTCTTGATTCATCATATTTTGAACAGTAAAAATATCTAGAAAGTTTTTGGCGAAATTAGGGCAAGTATGCATATTATCATATTATAACTTCTACTAGTGACACTTGCATAATGTTTTTAAAAATACAAAAATTAACTGAATCGTATTGATACCAAAGAGAAAGACGAGATGATTGGGACGATTTCAAGAAATTTAATTTTATTTATGAGCATTTACAACTTGTTAGAGACATTGATTTGGCTACTGAGTGATGTGTCTCTTCCGAATTGAATGATGGGATTTCGAGTATTGACTTATGTTTCTGTTCTCATTGAAACTGCTCCATCTTTTGAAAAAAGAAATCGTAAAAAATTATATATGTAAGTTACATAATATAGCCCACAAAAAAAAAAAAAAGTTACATAAAATAATATGACTCGTTAACTTTTTAATTTTTGAATTAAAAATATTTGAAAATCATATTTACTTCTAATTTTATTTTTTTTTAAATAATTATGAGATATAATGGTCGGCAAAAGGATTATAAGATTAGCAATAAATAAATAAATAAATAAATAAATAAATAAATAGAGCATCTTATCTTTTACAAAAAGAAGAGGTTCCTTCGCTTAACCTTCACTATGAACGCACAATGATGATGGAACGCAATCACTACTGGATTTAGGAGTTGTTTGGTATGATGTATTAGGTAAAATAATGCATGTATGCTTTGTATAATAATAATACTTTGTTTGATATACTTTTTGAACCTATGCACTGGTTATACACCTTATTTGATATTATCATATGCATAACTAATGCATAGGAAACCATGATATTAACAATGCAATGAATTTTAATGCATGTATTAGCTTAGTTAAAAACAAAATTGCCCTTGAAATTTTATGTATGATAAAATATGCTATTATATTAATGCAAGTTTGATGTAAAGTTTGATACTCAAATTACTCCCACTATTTATATTTACACTACGCCAATTTCTTCATTGTAAATTTATAAATTTGTACTCTACTACTACGTACTAGAATGCACTTGTAATCAACTCATTTTTTTTTTTAATTCAAACTTTCTTTGCCTAATAATCCAAGAAGTGGAAAATAAAATTATATTCTTAGTAGATAAATAAATACTTAGCATATTTTTTTTTATAAATAAATATTCAGTTATATACTATAATTAGGTAGACAAATTAAATAATTTTTTTAAACATTTTTCATATAAAAACATTCCTCAACATATGTTTTCTTTTTAAAGATAAAGTGATGGACTAGTTATGGGGGTATTTTTGTAAACAAATAATTTTTTTAGAAATTGTGCAATGCTTTAATACATCAAACCAAACAATTAATAAGAAACATATTAGCATAACTAATATCAGCAATACTAATACACCATATTCAGCATTATTCTTATACATTCTACCAAAAGATATATGCTAATGAAGTTTTTGAAGTACTTTTTAATTAAACATTTATTTCAAGACAAGTCAAACTAATACGTAATTTGGTTTTCATCTTGTGCAGGTAAGATAAAATTGAATACGGATGGTAGTATCAAAATGCAAACGGACGATTATCTATTTAAAAAAAAAAATATTTTACATTACCAATGAATTTTAACACGTAATAGCATATTAGTTATTGTTTTTAAGATTATTAGTTAATTTATTTACCCAATTATATAAATATTTTTACATCATCCCGTGCATAGATCTGAAACTCAATCATTATTATTGGCTATCAATCATCTTTTTCATTCTTATATGGTACATTTATTCATGGCTCGGCCATCTTCCGCACTTCTCACGCTTCTCCAGCTTGGAGCGATATAACTTGAGATTTGCCACTTTTATTTGGAAGTCCAAGTGGCTAGCAATCATCATTGTTCTCTCTTTTCATATGTAAAGATAAGGTTGAATTATTTCCTCTTTTTAGTGGGACTATGAGTACACAAGAAATCAATTAGCATGAAAATTGCTTCTTCACTATAAAAAAAAAAGGATTTTTCATAAATCACTATAGAGCCTAATAACTATAATTTGTTTAATTACCACTTGTAGTTACTGTTCAATTATTACAAACTTATATCACTTGTATTTATTTGTGCAATGAATACAACATATGTCAACTCTATTCATTCGTGCAACGAATGCAACCCATATAAATTGTATTCGTTCACGCAATTGTATTCATTTGTGTAAGAAATACAATATGTATCAATTGTAACCAAAACAAAACACAAGGGTGTATCATATATGATACAACTTGTATCATATACTAAAGATACGATATGTATTTCGCGCAACGAATACAACTAAGGCGAAACACAGAAATACAGAGATACAGAAAAATAATGTTCTTGATGAGATTCGAATCCAAAACCTTCACTAGCTAAGCAAGCGCTCTAACCAACTTAGCTATAAGAGCTTGTTTCTTTTTTGTTTCAGTTCAAAAGAATTAATCTATTATTTCATGAATTTGATATAAAATTCAAATATAGCTACGAATAATGATAAATTTGTTGAAAGTATAGTTACAAATGATAAATACAATGTAAATAATTGTTGTGTCGCGTAAGTTTCTCATAAATCACATAGATATAATGTGATATATACTATTACATATATGTATAATATGTTATGTAGTGTGGTAGGAACCTTCCTTTTGTCGAGGAAGTAGGAATCTTCCTTTCAAGTTTCAAGTTTCAAGTACTTGTTCTGAACTACACTTGGACCACACTGCATACCAATCACTCAAGGCTTTAATGTGTATATATCTTTTTGGTAAACAATTCACACGAAGAATTTCATCCATCCACATATAGTCTGATAGTGAAAGATGCTATGTGATGATTGAAGGATTAAGCTATTAATCAAAGTTTAATGAAATTCAAATGTTGATATTTCCCTAGCCTAAAACTCGCAAAAACCATTGATCCAAAAAGGCGATGAATCGACAATGTTATTTACACCAGATATCCACATTTTCAAAATTAGACGTGTGGTCTGAATACTAGTTTTGAATTTTAAATTTCAGATAAGGAGGTCACATTCAGAATTCATGATCTAATTTTGACAAATTAGCCATTTCTAAATATTATGCTTTAAAAAGTGGCTATTTGTGCAAATCAGCCTGTGCGGCATACCTCATTTATTGAGAACATGTTTGGTTTAATGTTCACAAATAAATAATCATGGTATATAGAAGTCGTAATAGTTATTTAAATTTGGTTTTATACGTCATATTCATGTATAGTTAATCAGCATATAAGGTTTTGCCAGTTTTGATTTATTTTATACCACTTATACATGGGTAAAGTACCCAAAAGGATAAAATCATGCTTGTCTTTTTCCGAGAAGCCTAAGAAGGTCAAGCATCCAAGGGTACAATTATAAAGTCATTACTTTTAATTTAAAACATAAATAAATATTTAAACAATACTCTCTTCGGTGCACTTTAATTAATTTTTTAGTTGATTTTCACACATATTGAGAAATCCACATTTTAACATTAATTAACAATAAAATTGAGCATATTAACCTTAATTTATCTATTGAAAATACAACAAATACTCCTATGCCTTTTATTCTAAGGGCAACTTAGGAAAAAAGAAGTTAATTCCTTCTTAATATCTTGAAAAAATAAATATTTTGAACCGCAGGAAAAAGGCTAAAAAATCAATTAAAGTGGACCATATGGAGTATATTGTATACCCAATTTTCAGATAAGGAGGTCACATTCAGAATTCATGATCTAATTTGACAAATTAGCCATTTCTAAATATCATGCTAAAAAAGTGGCTATTTGTGCAAATCAGCCAGGACGACATACTCACATTTATCGAGAACATGTTTGGTTTGAGGTATAAAAAGAAATAATCATGGTATAAAGAAGTTGTAATAGTTAAATCAATTTTGGTTTTATATATATCCTAGTCACGCGTATTGTTTTGCCAATTTAGGTATTATTTTATACCACTTACATAAGAGTAAAGTATCCTAAACGGATAATCACCCTGGTCTTTTTCTAGAATCCTACGAAGGTTAAGCATTGGAGGCTACAATTGTAAAGTCACTACCTATTAATTTAAAACATAAACAAATATTTTAAATGATATCTTGTATACTCAATATACAGTGATCCAAACACCAAACAAAGAAATAATTTTTGTATTACAATTCAAGTATTAGTAATCCCTATATTATTTTAATCTATATTTTCGAACCAAACGATCCTTCAGATTTTGCAACGTAGAATAGGGGAAAGTACACAAACAACCATTCTTAGAACTGTTATTTAAT